TAAGGAGTTTATTTCCACAGTAAAATACTATAAAGCAATGAGAATGAATGATCTGTAAGTCCATGCAATAACGAAGCTGACTTTCACAAACAGTGCTAAATGAAAGAATCCAGACACAAAAGCAAATGTATGTGATTCCATCTGTGTACAGCATAAGGACAGGCAAAACTTCTCTACCACGTAATTAAATGAGGATATGGGTTAGCTTTGACCAAGGCTGAAAGAGGGTATTTATCTGGTGCTGGAAATAATCTGTTTCTAAATTTGGGTGCTGAATATCTTGAGTGTGTTCTGAGCTGTGTCCTTAAGTGTATTTTTCTGCATGTATATTATACTTTCCATAAAAATTTTCTAAAACCACAAATGGCTAACATTTGTGTTGCTCAGCACTCTTTCATCATATTTTTCTAGATGTATGTGAATATGCTGCATAACAGGAATCAAATGGTAGATTTTGCAGAATTCTGTACAGGAAATGCGAACTGTTTATAGTAGTTTCAATGGCAACTACTAAGATTTCCTACACTGTGTCCTTAAAGCTTAGCATAATGTATATTTTAAATAAAATATTTGGAAAGGTTAAAGGGTCATTACATACTTTGTCATCCTACACTTTTGCATATATAAATGGGTGTGAACTGCCTTTTCAATAAAAAAGCTAATGCATAAAATTTCATGTTTTCTTCAACATTGTTTTACACATTCTGGAATTTGGGATGACTTGGTGAAAAATTATATTAAAAAATTTTCGGCTAACCCTCTCAGCAAATGTAAGACACACAGTTGTTGACAGCACACACGTGAGTGAAGAAACAGGTTACAAGAACTTTGCACTGTAAAAAATATAAGTGCTTTGGCTGGGTGCTGGCTGAGCTGTCAAAGCAAAGCAGGGACTACGCCCGACACCTGATGGCGTAGACATGTACCTGCCTTTTGGTTCACCTTTCTCAAAGAGAAGATTAAGCTTGAGGTGTGTACAGACTAGTAATGCTTTGCATGCCGAAGACGGAGGAGGAGTGTGGGACTTGGAGGTGTTATTCCCCCGCGTGGGCAAATGTCACTCAGTCCATGGGGATAACCACTACAAGTGAGGCTGTGGCTGTCCCTTCAATACCACAGAAAGCTGCTCGTTTCATCAGGAGATGTTACTACTGCTTGACTTGGGGTCAGTTAACTCTTCAGTTTTGTCTCTAAAATATGTTAAAAGACATTAATGCAAGACTACTACTTGAGGCCAAAAATTCACCCACTGTTCCTTATTCTATCTCAAATTATGTCCAGATATGGAGAAACAAAGCTCTTCAAAGAGGGGACGCCTGTGACATACAGCACAATATTGTTACAGTATGCCCCAACTTTATTATGTGAAGGCCACAAACAAAATGCAACTTCCCCCATAATTGCCACACAGGTAATCACATCAAAAAATAAATTCTCTTTCATATTAAAGGAAGAAATTTGGTTTCTGTCAAATTGGTGAACTCCCATGGAATTGCTGGCTTGTGAGCAAAGGGCTTGGAGTGAAAGTAATGTTGAAAATCCTCTGAGGGAAGGTAGGACAGTTGTGGTCTCAGTGGAGGAAGATGACAATGAAGACACTGGTGGAAATATGGCATCTGAGCAAAACTCAACATGAATTCTTTTCTCTACACTGAATTATCCAAGTCGATTCATCACCTGACCTGATGACACAGTGGGACAGGGACACAGCCCTTAGTAGCTCAGCACTACCTGAACCAGCAGAGCCTGACTGGAGTGAGGGCCAGTGGAACGAGCACGGGGAGGGTGTTTAGCTGGAGTGCTTCCTCCTTGCTCCAAAAGCTAAGCTTTTATGACAACTGAAGAAATGTGACATGTTTTAGTGGTGAGTTTTAAAAAGGGGTTGGGAGATCACTTTGTAGCCGGATTATGGATACTTGTCTGGAGAGGGCTTGGAAGGTTTAGCTTATCCATCCCAGATTGTGCTGCTGTGTCTGTTCTGGGCCTCGTATATTCTCCATAAACCCATGCTGGAAGCAGAAATGGGACTGACCCTCTGCCATACTAGGAAATAGAAATGTGACTGGCCTTTCTTCCAGTCAAGATTGCAGGACCTTCCTGGAGAAAATGAGTTCTGACATGAGCCAGCAGGTGCAGGACAGTGACTGCTGAGAGAGACGGTGACCCCTGTGATTGCCTAGGTTACTGTCTGGTGAAACACGTCAGGCCTCATTGCCAGGAAGGGGGACCCAGACAGAGCTGGGTGGTCTCCCTGACAGGAGACAGCTGAGCATGCAGGAAGTCCAAGAAGGCTGGAAATCGCAGAGCAGTGCTGAACGGGAGAGAGCTGCACAGAGCTTCAGAGATCTGCTATAGGTTCCAGAACCTGCCTGAGGCCATGACAATAATACAAGAAAGAGGAAGGAAAGACCTTATGAAATACACAGGTTAAGAAAAGCCTTTCCTACAGCTGGAGTGGGAGAATCTCTGCAGGAGGCACTGGGTCTGATACTCAGAAGATGTTGATTCTCCAGACTAAAGGCCACTCTGGCTGCATAGAAAGCTTAGCTCTTCTACTTTTTTTCTCCTCAATTCTGCTAAATGAAAACGCCATATCAATGTGTATTTAAATACTCGCCTTCCTACTATTCTACTAGCCAAAAAAAAAAGGAAATAAACCAGGCATACATGTCTGCTGGGTATAGGAGCTCCACCCCCAAAACCCAACGAATATCCTTGCTGGTCAGATCTGCATTCTGCTATGTCCTCATCCCATATAGGTTATTAATCTTGGAGGGTTGGAGTGGGTTTTTTTTTGGGGGGGACAGTTAAGAAATGTTTATTTCAGCTAACATGGCTATGTTTTCATCAGCTTAGGAGAACAGAAGGTCAAAGGTCACTAATGGAGGGTGCCACCAGAGCTTAAGGTAGTTTACCAGCTGCTGACACCTTCAGAGATTGTATAAATGCCATGGTCTTGGGTCGCAAAAAAAGCAAAGAATGCTTTGATCCAAAGTCCTTTGCATTTAGAATCATAGAAGGCCCTGGAACTAGTTAAGCTGCTAGGATGATCAGTGAGGATCTGAAAACCATTTCTCTTTCAGGCGTGTCAGGCATCCAAACTGAAGATACTTTTACAAATGCAGAAGAGCATACTCAGGACCTCTGTAGGAAAATAGTCTTCAGATAACATGTTACAGTCATGATTAGCAAAGCTCCAAGTAACAGAATATGGAGAGTGTTTAGTGGGGTGACACTTTGCAATGTTAACTATTCCTTATATTTTCCTTTTTCCCCAACTAGGAGACTAGTGTTATTTGACACAACAGAGTGTATGTGTATTAGTCATGACTTTTATATTATGTATATTTCAGGTTTGACCTCTGGGGCTTGGCTGACCCCGGAGGGACCGCTCCTTCCAGGCTTGGCCAATTCCTGGGGACTCCCTCTCCAGTGACAGCCTTTCCAGGAACATTTTTAACCGTGGAAAGCATCTCCGAACTACAACTGGTTTTTAAAAACGACTCTGAGGTGTTGTTTATATGCCCGGACTTCACAGACGGAGTGTTGGGACTTGGAACTACGTGTCCCTAAACGTGGCCTTATGGGGAGTAGTAGAGAGAGGGGGAAAGAAAGATCTGTGGGGGGGGGGGAGTGAAGAAAGCTGTGAACTACAGGGCCTAAAACTTCAGCTCCTTATTTTAGAAATCTTCCCTCCCACTGCCCCACTCATCCCAGAGATGGGAAAACTCAGGAAGGGCTAAGGACCAGAATGACCGGCAACAACTGTAAGGATTTTGAACAATGGGGCGCAAGAAAAGGCTGCGAAGAGAAATGGGATAGAAGAAAGATGAATGTCGAGAATGGTCCCTGGCGCGCCGTGGGGACCCCGACTTGGGGGCGGGTGGCGGAAAGCTGGAGGAGCCCGCAGCTGGCATGGGACGGCTGGGCAGGCCCAGGTGCGGCAGCCAAGGCACGAGGGTCCCGGCAACGAGCAGGGGGGGCAAGCCAGCCTGGCGCCCAGAGACCTCCCTGCCACAAGGGGGTGGTGCGTGAGCTGCAGGGGGTCCTCCCGCTCCCCTTCCAACTCGCCCTTCCGCGCGCCGGTCCGCGGAACTTGCTGCCCTTGGTCACGTCGAAGACTCTCCCATGGACTGCGAGCAGGATGCGCGGGGTGCGGGACCCGTCGTGCAGGCGCAGCTTCTCTGGGCTCAAGTCCGGCTACTCCACGCGAGGCAGGAAGGCGGCGGGCCTCTCCTCGCCCGCCAGCGCCGGCGCACGCACTTCCCGCAGGTCCCCAGCGCCACCTACGCCTCCAGCACCACTCGAATCCCAAAGCCCTCAGCGCCACCTGCGCCAGGTCCAGCGTCTCCCCGTCCCGGGTCGAAAGCACCAAAGCCACCGCCGCCACCAGCCTACAGCGGCTGTTGCCTCTGCGCCGCTCCGCTGGCCGCCACTACCCGGCTGCAAGTCCCCATCACCCGCCGCCAGCGCCTCCCTCTGGTTAGAAGGCTTAAAGGCGAGCCCAAGCAGGATCGAACTGCTTGTACGTAATAACTTAAGTGCATCCCAGTCGAAAGCTCAAAAATATTTAAAGAAATTAAAAAAAAAAATTCTGGCTTCTAAACAGCATAAAGTTTACAATATCTAATTTTCAATTAAAAAGTACCAAGTATGCATAGAAGCAGAAAAACAGCCCATAATGGGTAGAAAAATAATAGGGAACCAGAAATGACACAGGGGACAGAATTAGTAGATCAGGACAAACAGCTGTCATGACTATACTCCAGGTGTTCAAGGAGAGTGGCGCATGGACAAGGCCGATGGCCCCAGAAGCATGTTCCAGGCCAGGGCGTGGCTTGCCCTCGGGGGCGTGCCAGTGGGTGGAGACTCTGGGGTGTTCTGGGGACGTGGCTTAGGAATGGACGTGGTGCCGCCTTGGGGGCGTGGCCCTTGTGAAGAGGGTTCGGATGATTCGTTAACAGTGGGTAGGGCGTGGCTCGGGCTCACAGGGCGTGGCTCAGGCTCACAGGGCGTGGCTCGGGCTCGCAGGGCGTGGCTCGGGCTCGAGGGGGCGTCTAAGCTACAGGACAGCTTCGGGCTAGAACTGTCCCTACCTAACAGTCCTGTGGAGCCGCACGACGGTGAACGGGCTGGGGGCTGACCCTGGGCAGCTTGGCTATCACGGGCGGGCACGGACATGTGGGCCTGGCGCGCAGAGGGAGGGAATGGAAGGAAGGGGACCGAGAGGGTGGGCGTGGGGGGCGCCCTGACGGCCCGCTTGCCCCCTGCCAGCCGCTCCGCCCGCTCGCCATGTGGCCCCCGCTGGTCCTGCTGCTGCTGCTGCTCCCCGCCGCCCCCGTCCCCACCGCCGAGGCCGCTCCGCTCCCGGACGCCGGCACCCAGGAAGGCCTTCAGAGTTTGCTCCAAGGTTTCCACCGCCCCTCTGGGGAGGGCCGGGGCAGGCAGGAGGACCTCTCTAGTCCGGGACCCAGAAAGGGGAAGGGATGGAGGCGGAGACGAGCGGCAGGAGTTGGGGGTTAGCGGACAGGACAGGACGGAGGGACAGAATAGAGGGATGGGCAGGGGTGGGGCGAGCGGCCTTGAAGACCGGTGGTGGACAGGGAAGGGGGGGACCTGCTCCCTCCACGGAGGGCCAGCTGCGGGCTGGACTTCAGCGCCTCCCCAGGCCCTGATCCCGCGCAGCGGACCGGGGCCCCCGGCTGGGGAGCGGCACCCTCTCCAGCCAGCACCGGGAAGGCCAGCCTGTCCCCCTTCGCCAGGAGCCCCAGCTGGCCCAGACGGAGAGCTGTGGGCGGACTCAAGTTCGGCCCACAGCTCGGGCTGTCCTCCCGGCTCGTGAGGTGGCTGCGGCGGCGGTGCAGCGTGGACCCCCGGGAGGACCTGCAGCTCCTAGAGACATATCCACGGAGATCACGGGCGGGGCGATCCTGGGGCTCCCCGATTCCTCAGCCTGCCTCTTGTCCCTTCCCAGGCCCATCACCTGCTGTATAGGCTGGGGGTTGACATCAAGGCACTGGAGGGGGGCAGATATGGACCCTCACCAGAGCCCACCCCAGCACCATTTAGAAATAAAATTCTTTCTTAGTTATCAGTGCTGGTTTTGGGGGGAGGGGCCCCAAGGCCTGGTCTACCAGGCCTAACCTGACATCTGGAGGCAGCACTAGGCCGGTGTTCCCATTCGGATATTGTCACTGTCTTCTGACAAAGCTACTCTATCCCCCAGTCTCCACCTGACATCCCCAGCCCTGTCTGACAGTCACCTGCAGCCCCATCTGTGCACCCAGTCCCTGATCCTGTCATCTCTAGATGCTGCAGCCTGTGGCTGCCCCACTTCTGGTCCCCAATCTTTCCAATGGTTGGGAACTTAGATTTTACCCAAGGCCACTTGTGATTTCCAAGGACCATCTCGAGTTGGACATGGCAAGAATGTCTAGTCCGGCTTGTCCAGTAAGACTGTCCCACACTGAGCCTCCTGACACCGGCCCTCTGAGCCATCATACACTGGGGTAGCCCCTGCTACTTCAGACTGAAATATACCAGCCCTGGTGGTGTCTTAAAATGTGAAACACTCACCTGCTGCACCACCAGCCATTCCACACCCAGGCACTTAACCCAGAGAGATGAAAGCACATGTCCCTACAAACACTTGTGCACGGATGCTCATAGCAGCTTTATTTGTAATTGTCAAAACTGAGAAACAACCCAAATATCGACAGGTGAATGGATGAATTGTAATAAATCCTTATGATGGATATTAATCAGCAGTAGAAAGGAAAGAATTGCTGACACATGGAACATGAATGGACCTCAAAAACTTCCTGAGCAAAAGAAACCAAATAAAAAACATTATACGTGATTCCATCTTTTAGGAAATTCTAGAGAAGGCAAAATGAATCTACATTGACAGCAGATCAGGTTGCCTGTGAGGGGCGTGAGGAAAGTGGGGGGGTTACACAAGGGCACAGGGGAGCTTTGGAAGTGGATTGGTCCATTGTCTTGATTGTGGTTATAGTGTCACAGGTGCAGGTAGATCTCAGAGTTCACAAGATCTCAGAAACGGCACACTTACACAGGTGCAGTGTATTGTGTATCAGTCATATCGCAATGAAGCTGTTCGTGCAATACCAGTTGCGCACTCTGCCCCCCCAACCCAGTGGGACCCTGTGCCCCACCCCCAGTCCCCTCAGTCTCTGTGGAAACATGGGACAAGCCGCCTCTGCACTGTGGGGAAAGATGGGTGGGTGGCGGCACCCGACCCTCCCCCGCCCGCCATCATGGGAGGACGTGACTGCCTGTCTCCCTGCTCCCAGGGCCCCTGCTCTCCTCTGTTGAATGCCCACCCTGTGGGGCTGGCCAGGCCTCCCTGGCCCACCAGAGTGCCAGAGGAGGGATTGGATTTAGGGCGCCCTGCCTCAAGGCCTGGTGTCTTCTGGTGTCACGAGTTTGCTCCATATAGTAGCCACCTCTGCATCCACTGTTAGGCCTGACTTGTGTTTGGAACCCAGTCGTACCCAGTCACCTTCGGCTTTGTTAAAATGTCCCCTCCCCATGTGGGTGGTTGTGGCACAAGTTTTCACCCCACAGCCTCTGACCACGCTGAAAACCTGACGGTCAACACCAGAGTCTCATAAATCAGTTTCCTTCACACCTGCTTTCTGTAAACCCGCCAGTCCACACCCGCACCTGAGGACAGCCCGGGGCCTTTAATAAAGGCAAACTGCGGGCTCCATCTACCTCTGGGTCCGCGAGTAGTAAGGCCTCTGTCATTTCATGCGCTTTGCTGTGCCACCTCCTCCAGGCCTCATGTCCCTCGCATGCCCCAACCTGACTTCTGGCCAGGGCAGTGGCTGTCTAGGAAGGCACAAACTGGGCAAGAGCCACAGGGCATCCAGTGTAAACAAGCGTCCCACAAGAGGGCCATTCCGTCATGGGTCAGACACTGAGACATCGGGCCACCTGCTGGGACAAGGAAGCCTCCCATGAAAGGTACAGTCACCACCCACAGCTGCCTCCCCTGGAGCCCTGTTGGGACTAGTTTCCAGCCACTCTTTAGAGAGAGAGAGACCCCAAAACCAGAGTAGGAAGAAATTGCAACCCTGCGTGGGCGGAGCAGGGCCCCCCTCACCAGGACGTGCACACCCCAGAGCTTCCTCACAGGTCTGGGGCTGACTTGTTTTCTGTTGTAATGAAATGCCTGGCCAATAATTTCCAGAAATGGGGTTTGGGTGTTTGAGGGTTTTAGCTGTGAACCCAGGACTGGCTGTTTTCTGCCTATAAGCGTGTAGAGGTCATTACAGAGCCTAGCAGCGTGGGCACTACAGTGATCACTTTTCGAAATGCCTCTACACCCTCCGGGGCAGGGATGGGCACGTTTCCCGCGGTGCTGCAGGATGCCTAGGTAAACCGCTGTTAGTTAAAACAAGGTTTTGAAGTTAAAGGGATGACGTCTCCTCCTCGGGTTCTGTTCTCTGTCCTGGGGCCACGGTCCCACCCTAAGCCATGAGGGGTGGGGTGCGAACTCCGTGGCAGGCCGGGCACATGCAGCTCTGCCTCCAGCCCAAGGGGTCCTGGCTTGAGCCAAGCCAGAGGTGCTGGCCCAAGGGATGTCTCCTTCAGCAGGCTTGGTGGTGGAGCACAGGCGACGCGGGGACCTCAAGAAAAGAGGGGGCCCTGAGCTGGAGGCCAGAGAGGGTGGGGCTGTGCAGACGGCAGGGGCAGGGGCGGGGGAGCAGCCTGTGCCCAGGCTGGGGTGAGCAGGCGTAAGAAAGATACCAGGCACAAGAAGGGAGGCCAGAATGGTGCAGAGGGGAGGATGTGTTTTGTAGGAGATGTGATGGCCACCTGTCCCTTGGCTTCAGGTCACCACGTGACTCAGGTTGCTCTTTGGTTGCCTCTGTGATCCCAGGCTGATAGAAGGGCCCCAGCAGATGGCAGCTACTTCTGCCAACAGGTGAACACCCATCAAGTGTCAGCAGGACCTGGCACTGGGACGCTCTGCATTCTCGATATGTGCCTAAACCTCCAGACAGACAGGCAGGGCCAGCCGCTGCTCCAGCCTCTGTGCTGGAGCTTTGCTCATTCTGTTCCACCACTTGGAACGCCAGCTCTGTCCTCACCGCAGTCCCTTAGGAATGGGAAAAAGCGAGACATTGTTGTAGAGCTTATAAGAAGATAATGTTAACATTCCATGAATTTGTAAATTTAGATAAAATGGACAACTTTCTCAAAAACACAACTTACTGAAACTGTCACAAGAAATTGAATCTGCAGTTTAAAATCTTCCCACCAAGAAATCGATGTGCTCAGATGACCGCATTAGTAAATTCTTCTAAACTCTTTAGGAAAATATTTCTGGGTGTCCTACATAGAGAACAGTAAACTTGTGTTAGGAAGCCAAAATAGCCTTGTTGCTAAGACCTGAAAAGTAAAATTTAAGAAAGGAAAATTTTCAGTTCAGTATCTATCATAAACATAGGTGCAAAAATCCTAAACAGCATATTAGCAAAATAAATCCACCATCTCAATTGTGGGGATTGTGGCTTAATTAAGTAAATTAAGCTCAGCCATAGGGAGCTGCCCACACAGAACAGGATCCAGGACTTGAAGATGTTAATGAGCTTTCACGGGTTGTAGAACTTGAATGCTAGGTCAGTTGAGATAGACATCATCACGTTTTGTTCATGTAATATGAACTTCATATAGAGCAAGGAAGAAAATGACCCATGGCAGATTCTTCTAGTCTGGTTTTGAGCTGTTGCAAGACTCAGATTTGCTGACAGATGCATCTCAAGAGGTTTCATTTGTGGTATATGGTCCAGCCGTGACACCTCACTCCAGAATGGAGCCCGCTTGCAGAAAAGAATTCACAACCCACTTACCGCAGAGGTTAGGCCCCTGGGCTTCCCTCCAGGACAGAAAAGCAAGTCACTAGTGTCAATGCTAATCGATGATTTTGATTTGCAATCGATAATTGATTTGCAATCTTTTGTCTGGATGACAGCTTTTATTCTTTATGGTTGGGAAGAAATCTGCCTAGGCTCTTACTGCAAGAGAAATAACCCTAACTTGTGAGAGGAAGACACCACACACACACACACACACACACACTCTGTGTGTGTTCTTGCAGGTGGAAGGGGGAAGCAGGTTTGGGGTTTGGTCAGCAGCAGGGAAACTGCTTTCTGTGGGTCGAGGTGGTACCTGAGCCTGGTATAGCCGGGGGAAAGTAGTGGGCGGTGGTGCAAAACGGTAAATGTCAACAGCTGCCTCTTTGAAGAAACAAAAAACCCTGGTTTGAAGCATTTGCCAATTTCTACAATGTAACTAACTAATCCCACCGTGGCCCATTTAAAGCTACCGATGTGATGTGAATTGGCTCACAGAATCCTTAGGAAGAATCGGCTCTCCCCGGGAAGCGGGGGCCAGCTGCAGCACACCTCAGACTGCTGTGCTCAGGGATGATGCCATCTGTTTCTCACCTCCCCAGGTGCTCTGGGAGTGATGTCACAGGTGTTTGCAAAGGCACAAAGAGGAAAGGGTCCAGGCTTCCTGTTCAAGGCAAATTGGCACAGCTGGGCTGTTCTCCTGAAGTGTGTTATAAAGGCTTTAGGAAATGGTCCCCCGAGGAGCTAGCTGGCTCTTCCTGAAGTGAATGGGGAGACTTGTCACCCTTCTGACCCACAGGGTGGCAGGACTCTCTCTTTGGCGAGTGGGGGCAGCCATGGTCACCTTAAAGGAACACAGCTCTTCAGCTCTCTTCCCCTGCTGGGAAAAGACATCCTATTCCCTTAACAAACCTGCAAGCGGGTGGGGGTTCCTTCTGTTGCACGGAAAGCCAGTTACTGAGACAAGAGGACTGTCGAGGAAGAAAGGAGATCTAGTGTGGAGCATGTATCAACTGGGAGGTGGGGGGAACAGACTGCCTCAAATCCCCCTCACTGACCAATGGGGTCAGGGTTTTCCTGGAGGTGAAATGAATAATGCATGAGGAGTGTGAGCATCATATGTTTGGGCAGGGCATGCAAGCACAGTAAGAGATCATGCTGCTACATACATCATGTGACCCCACAATGGTGGGTAAGTCCCCCCACA